TAAAGTAAGTTCATTGTAGACGAAGTCAATTTTAATAGTTTTTAATGCTATCATTTTATTTTACTACTTAATTTTATAACTTTTTGTCACTAAGCATGCATTCATGAAATTTTGTATCCAAATGCATTTTGACCTTTAACTTAAAAGTATTCTATTAATTTGTGTCAATTTAATTTAAGAAGCAATTTTACAAAATTTTTGAAACGAAAAGAAATTTTGAATAGTGTAAAAAATTTTTTGTATTATTGTTGAATTTACTAGTTAATAAAATGAATTTAATCAATGTTTTCAGGCATTTCGAAGGCAATAAGTATTATAGAAGCAAACTCGGACAAGTGGTTTTCAAAAATATAAATTAAGCAAAAAATAAAAAGAATCAATGTTTTTTGCATGCTTTTTGCGAAGTCTTTACTGTAATTATTTTTGCTTAGATAAATGCAAAGCATTTTTTTACTTAATTAATTGATTTCAGTAATATCTAAACTGTTTTCTTTCTTCTTTTTAATACTCTTTCAAGCTTTTGCACGTAAGACAAATTTACTTTTTAATAACTTTTATTTAATTCATTTATTTTAATTTTTTTGAATTTATTCTCTGATCATTTATTCACCTGGCGTTTTGAATTCTTTGCCATCTTCTGTGCCACTTTACAATCATTATTTTTCTTTGAAGAATTAGTTTTGAAAACTTTGCGTCAGTAATTATTATTATTATTATTATTTTTTGAAATAAAATGAAACTTGGAATAAATGAATTATGCCATATTTGAATGGCAATAATTACTACAACGATCAATGTTATAAATTATTTATTAATGTGGTGATATGCTCTGTAATACTAACATTAATATTAACACTGATAGTAGTAATATAAATAATAATAATTATAATAATTATTATTACTCTTATTATAATATTAATAATAAACAGCTAAAGTGCAGTAGAGATAGGATTTGCTGAAAAGCAAACGAAAGATGAAGATGAAGAAAAAGCTTTGGTAAACTGATTTAATTATTGGCCTACTAGCTAAGTAAGGAATAAATAAGACGAGAATTGGTAAAGAGTTCAATTTTAAGAAGTTATCTGAGATAATCTGCTCAATTTAAGATTTTCTTGCTGGCAGATAAATCTGAGAAATTTGTTGCAGCACTGGGAAAAAACTAACATATTTAGCTTCTTCCAAGCATTTGCAATATAAATAAAATAAGTCAAGTTTAGCCAAAATAGTTACAAAGTATCGATAGATCTATGCAAGTTTTGCCTTTTTTTCTATCGTAGTAACTGTTTCTCTTCGATTAGCCCGTATTCAAATATCTGAAATCCTTCAAAAAGGATGGAGTAACTTTCAAAGTCATTCCTTTTATTTTCTTTCTGACTGCATTTCATTTAGTAAGCAAACTAACATTTAACTTCTATCACATAACAAAATGTTGAAAAATCTTAGCAATTCTGTGCTGAATATGCTCTTTCATTTTTTTTTACTTCACTTCTCTGCTGTTCATATATTGGTGCTGACTGTCATTCATACTGATTGAAAGAAAGAATTAAAAAATTCAAAGTTTACTAAAACGAAAACTCACTGCAAAATATATCTTCCACTAACTTTCATAATTCATTTTTGAAAAATCAGTTTTTCATTGATTATTTTTGAAATTGTTTCAGTAATATTATATTTGTACTCAAATTGTGCTACTTTTTAATAGAGTTAGGAGAAATGTTGCTTAAATTGAATTAGAAATGGAATAAGAAATTTTGTGAATATTTCATTTTTATATTAAGAATAGAGAAAAAATTGATAGTTATGCTTTGAAGAGTTTGCAGGTTTGCTGAACTTAACTTTGCACTCAGAGGGCAATTTTTTGTATGCATGAACGGTAAAAGTGATTTATAATGAATTACTCATTTTGTTTCAACAAATCAATTTACTTCAGTTCCGTTAAATATCTGACTTACTGCCATTTTCATTATTCTGCAACATTGATTTCAAATCGTATTATGCATGTCTTGCAGAAGCTTCCCTATTATTTAATTGCGAATAGCTTGTACATGTAATCAGAAATTTTGTACTTGTTGATGACCTGTTTTATTTTAATAATTTAATGTAGTAAATTTACTTACATTTGCTGATAATCAGGATTTCATATTTTAATTAATTGTCATGGTTATTAAAGATTATGAAAAAATGTGCTTTTCTTTTAATTAATAATTTTTTAATCTTTATTTTAATCTGAAATTATGTGTTTTTGAAACTTTTTTGAATATTTTTAGGAAAATTAAAGCTTTTTAAAGTGGATACATGATCTAAAAAGTATACCTTTTACACCTTTCATTACATGCTAATGTTGCGTAGACTTTCACAGTTTATCTTTTCGACCTTTCTCAGTCATTAATAGAAAGTAAAAATAAAGCGAATACCGTAGCTAAATTTTTAATTTTTAGTGCTTTTTCTACTTTAATTACTTTTTTATCGTCACACTTCACTTTTTTCATTAAGTTTTTGTAAAATTGTCAAGCTAATTAGGATATTCTGATTAAAGGTGCAAATAACATTTCTAGAAGCTGCTAGCGAAAAGAAGAAAAAAAGCTAATACATTTTGAATATCGTTGTACGGACACATGTAAGATTTTTTAGCTGCCAGATAAGTCTGAAAAAATTAGCTGCAGTACGGGGTAAAACTAACTTGTTTTTGCAGCTCACATTTTTTAATTTTACAGTTTGTTGCACTAAAATTAATTCAAGTTTCATTAAGAAAACATTTACAAGAAATAAAATTAATTCTTTCTTGCTTACTGTGTGCTTTATTTATAAATTAAAGAATGTTACAATGTAAATTTTTTTAAATAAAGTATAAAACTTATCCAATTTTGTTATTCTGAATGATTCGGACAAGAAAATTTATGAAATAAAATTAAATACGGAAGGATTTATGTATTTTTACGATGACCTTTACTCATATACTATTAAATTATATGTTTCACTCTTTCTTTTAATCTTCTCAAAAACTAAAGTAATATTTTATTGATAAAACTTTCATTTTTTTCATATTTAATGTTCTATCAGTTATTTTTAAGACTGAAAAAGCTTTTAAAACTTTTATGAGAGTTACTAATTTTAAGAGCGTATCATTTGTTTTGTAGCAGTTAATGAACGTATGATAATATCATCAAGCACTGATAAACTTTTCTTACTGAAGTTCTTCGATGATAAGCTTGAATTATTTGTTGTTGATTTAGATATTATTTTAAATTCACTAAAAAGACTTCATGAGTAAGAAATCGTAGTGTTTGATACAGATTAATTAATAAATACATTATTACTGTAAAACATGATGAACAGTGATATAAGTATTTAAATAACTGCAATAATAAAGTGATGTATAATAATCAAATTGTTTTCAGCAAATATTTTTTGAAAAATGTTTGAATGTATAAGAAAAAAGTAAAAATGAAGTATTTGCAGTTTTATATGGTCAAATATGATAAAGCAATACTGATAATCAGTAATATGAAAATAAGCATAAAACTATCACAATTCGTTGTTTAATATAAATTACTCAACAACAAAAATTATTCAACTTCTAATTGAAAAATAATTAAAATACCTTTAATTCTTTTTCATTTATCGTTTTTTCAAAAATTCTTAAAATTTTTTACAGAACTCATTTTATTTACAAATAAATGAAATCTTTGTCAGCAATAAAAGCTGATTGTTTGTGAGTGATAGTTTTGAAAGCTGCAGTGAAAATCATTTAGAAACTGTTAGTAAATATCAGTTAAAAATAAACTTTCAAATGACAAGTTTCTTAAATCAAACTTTAAATACTTGCAAAAACTTAACATTGTGATAAAACTTTTAGACTGATCTATGAAAGAAAATTTGCTGAATCAGCTTATAACTTATTTGAAGTTTAAAATAACTAAGAATAACTACTAAATTAATATTTTAGAAAAAATAATAATCATAAACTTACTTTGCTGTCAGTACTGTCAAAACTACTTCAAAAATTAACATAAAATATCATATTGAATTTCTTGATAGAATTTTTAACGTATATCTTTACTCGTACTTCAATATTTGAGTTGCTGCTGCAATTCCTTATTGTGTACAAATAATCAAAAATTTTCACATTCATGTCAAGATTAAATTAATGCTAAAAGTGTAAATACTGAAAAAAAAGTTTGAGTAAACCGTATGAATTCGAGCGCTGCAATAAGTGACGTTACAAACAATCTAGAAACTAGTGTTTTTATGCTTGTTTTTCCATTACAAGTTGGAATTTTTCTAAGAAAAATAGTTTTATTTGAGATTTAAAAGTAGTTAGATAAGTATACATATACTGAAAGCAAGCATACTAGAGTACGCATACACATATAAATAAAGCATAAATATGCATATACTGGCAACATATTTTCAAAATTACAAAGATGCTTAAAAGATGAAAATTTGATATACAAAACATTTTTTTAATTTGCTATTCCTCCACTAACTCTCATGCATAATAATAATCAATCTTAAATTTCAGGAATGAGATGATAGTTACAGCGATGTTATCGCAAAAGCAAAAGTTTATTTATAGAAAATTTGATATTACCATAAATCATACAAGCAAATTTATTTCACTAAAAACACTGCTACTATCAATAATGTCAAAGTTTCTTCGCTATTAGTTAATGCATAAAATGAACGATATTTTCTTTCAGTACGAGAAGTCATTGCAATTCTGAAATTATCATATAAAAATAAGAAAAATGGATAATTACCAATGTGTGTATCATAATATTTTTTTCTTAAAGTTTAATGCAATGTTATTTTTTGTTGTTGTTTCACTTTAGGAAATTAAGACAGAAAATTTTTGCTAGTATCTTTATTGAAACTAATATTATCTTTTTGTGAATATCCTGCGATAACTAACTTCTAAGATTATTTAGAAAGTAAATCGCTTAATACGTTAATTGGATGAAATTTCTAAATACTAAAGTAATCTAAACTTTCAGTTTTGTATGGACAGTGAACATCGTGTCATTCTGAATGTTGGTGGAATTCGGCATGAAACTTATACTCATGTACTTAAAAAGATTCCTGCTACAAGACTATCTAGGTGAGTTATCTTTTACATTTATAATTTCAAATTTTGATTTCCTAGATGAAAGACGTGCAGAATGAATTAGTTAATCTTTAATAAGAACTTTAACCTCTTAATAGGCTTTTATTAGTTCGTCACTTAAGTACTGAAAAATAAAAACACGCTACAGATAGGGATTACTTTTCATCACATTATGTATCAAACTAGTTTAGATTGACACCGAACCTGGCAAATTATGATCCCGTATTGAACGAATACTTTTTTGATCGTCATCCCGGTGTTTTTTCAATGATTCTCAATTACTATCGAACAGGTGAACAATTTCTTATACCTACTGAAAATTCGGTAAAAACAAGTTTGTATTTGTGCTTGTAGTATTTTATGCTACACAAATTAGCGTTGTAATGTTTAGGCAAATTACATTATCCAACAAATGTATGTGGTCCTTTATTCGAAGATGAATTAGAGTTTTGGGGTCTTGACGCCAATCAAGTTGAACCGTGTTGTTGGATGACATATACGCAACATCGGTAATTTTTCTACAGTAAATTTCAAATTTCATTATTGCTCTAATTTTTGTTGCCAAAATTTTTATTATGTTTTGAAAAATTGTCATTATTAAGCAAAAAGATTCAACAAAATAAAAACTTCAAGTATGAAAATTTAATTTGGAAACATATGAATATTTAGAATAAAATCGTATCTTCAACTTTAAACTCAGTTCTAGACAGGTAAAATTCATGAAAACTGATTGAAAATCAGCTGAAATTGATAAATAAATTTAGAGATACACAAGAAACGTTAGCGGTGATTGAAAGCTTAGACTTAGATGCTGACCCACCAACTCAGGAAGAAATAGCAAAAAAATTCGGCTGGGAAGATGATTATTATTCGGGAAATTTATCCAAGTGGCAAAAACTGAAGCCAAGAATATGGGCACTTTTTGATGAGCCTTGGTCCTCGCAATATGCTAAGGTATGAATTAAAAAAATAAATAATTTACCTTCTTCAATTAAAATTCAAAATTTTTCAAAAATTTTTAAAGTGTCAAAAAAATAGACAAAAATTAAAAATGATCACTTATTAAAAGTTTTTCACGTATACATGTTCTATTTATTGTTTTGTTAATTATAAGAAGCAACAAAGATGGCTTCGTAGTTAGCAGAAGAATCTAAGTCAGTTGCATTTGCTTAAAACGCTAGTTAATATTTGCATTTTTTCTCCTATTTGCCTTATCACAGTGTTAGACTTGTGATAATTCAAAGCTAGTTAGTAGCTTACGAAGCATTGTTGATGTTGCGAATTTCCCAGGGCTTTATCATGCAATTGTTACCTTTGCATGTTTCAGTTTGCTTAGTAAATGTTAGTAGCATGTTATTAACAGTTGAAGTAATGCAAATTAAACGAGTCATTAATTGACCCATTTACTTGGATTCATCTCAAATCACTTCACTTATTTCCATCAAATATTTGTCTGTAGAGTTTCTACTTGATATTAAGCAAAATATTGAAAGCATCAATATATTAATGAGGTAAAGGTTGTTACTTACTTACTTACTTACTTACATACTAAATCATACATTCATTCATCATTTACTCTGCCTGTTTTATTCATCGATACAGTTTTGGAAGTTAGCTATAACGTGAGAAAAAATTTCATTACAAGTGAATTTTAAGTCAATCATAGATAGTCACCTGAAAAAGAAGCTGAATTCTTAGTTTAGATATATTTAGCTTCTGTAGTAGTGCTTCCTAACGAAGGGATTCCCGTGGTACCATCACCAAATTGGCTGTTGTTGAAAAGGCTTTCAGATGATTTCATGCTGTTCTGTATTTTTCGTCATCGCCAGTATCATTTCATTTGTCCTCAAAACACATCCAGCATTCCAAATACCATCTATAACAGGTCAGTTTATATTCTTGACTAACCTTCCTGTATGCATCACAAGAACTAATATTTAGTATAAATTAGTCTGTATGATAATCATTAAAATTTTCAAATGTGAAAATTTCTAATTGTTTTTTTAAACCATTGAAATTTTAAAAATGAATTTAAAATTAGCAGAATTTTTTCAGTGACATATAGTGGTGAAGTTGGACGCAGTGGAATACAATCTACAGCCTTCAAGCAGTTCACAAGTGTGCATCCAGCATTCTTCTATGTTGATCTTATTTGCAACATGTATTTTAGTATCGAAATAGTTAGCTTTATGGATGTTATTTATAATAATTTTATGACGTGCAAAGTAGAATAAATAATAATTAGCTATAAAACTTTTTTATTATCTCTCGCTAATGAATTCATGAAGCTTATGAGCTTCTTGAAGTTAATTTGCATTGGCATTCAATGATATTAGCAGTATTTTTGAAAGCACAAATAACTTTACAATTTTACTATGAAATTGCTTTCAATTCAGTTGAAACTTTTTTAACACTTTAATTTGTGATAAAAAGTTATCTTCAGAATATCACCGAATTATTTACAAAATTTGTTTTAAATTTGTGACAAGAAAAACTTTTTAGCTGGTTCGCCTAATATTCGCTCCATCACTGCAACGATTTTTCCAGTCACCGATCACGATTATCGACTTATTAGCAACAGGATCGTTTTATTTGGATTGGCTTGTAACCAGTTTTACAACTAATGAAAATAGTTCTGATTCTATTGACTTTTTATCTATTTTATGCGTTTTAAGGCTTTTTAAACTCACGCAACATTTCAGTGGACTGAAAATCCTTATACAGACATTTAAGGTAATTTGAAGTTTGAGTGCTGAAATTTATGCTTATTCTAAGAAGCATTTCTTTCAGTTAAGAAGAACAAATCTAGCATTTGCTTATTACAGCTAATTATCAGTAAAATGTGACAAAATTTTCTAATTAATTCTAATTATGAAGCGATTGAACTTTCTTGATGCATCTTTTTACCTTCACAGAAGCAATACAATCAATCTGTTTTTAATTATTTATCAAGAAAATTAATTTAATGCTGATTGAAGGCATCAGCACAAGAGCTTTTATTATTGGTATTTTTTGTTGTATTGGCAATTGTCATATTTGCTGCTCTTGTATATTACGCTGAACGAATTGAGAAAAATCCACAAAATCAGTTTACTTCAATACCAGCTGGTTTGTGGTGGTAAATTTTCTTTTGCTTATTTAGTCACTTCAATTTATGATCATATTTGTGCATAATTATAAAAATACAAAACAATTTAATATTTAGGGCAATCGTAACAATGTGTACTATTGGATTTGGTGATATGGTAAGTGCTCTATAATCACTTTTTGTTTTGATAAGCAATCATTCCTCTCCGATAAATTCCAAAAATTAATGACACATTTTTGCTATCATTTATTACTTTTTTGACTATAATTATTAATGAGCTCTCAATTGAAGATCTTTAGTATAATTAAGTGCTTTAAGATAATCAACTTTTATTAAGCGAAAATAATTGCAGTAAATTAATTATACTACTTCTTTCCTCGAATATTTTGATTTTTTTTCAAGTTTTTATATGTTAAAAAAGTTTGGTTTTTACTATTTTAAAGGTTCCCAAAACATATTTGGGTATGTTAGTGGGTTCATTATGTGCACTGATGGGTGTTTTAACTATTGCATTACCTGTGCCAGTTATTGTTGCTAACTTTTCCAACCTTTACTCTCATTCACAGGTTAATTTTAGCATACCGTTTGTTTTTAAAAAAAATTAAAGTGATATAGAACATTTCATAGGAGAATAATGATTGACGGGTAGAATTTAGTTACCTTGAAACTTATACTGTTTTTGTAATTAGTAATCATAGATATGAAAAACAATTGTTTAAAAAAAATTTTTTTTTCTTCTGAATTTTGAATACTAGCTCTCAATTTTTACTAATTCATACTTTGTTATACACATTTCACTGTTGATAATTTTGTTATCATTTTATCACTAAAAGATCTTTTCAATGTTGAATTTTTAAAATTATTGTAATGAAAGAAGTAATCAAATAATTCATACAAGTTTCTTGATACTAGCAATGCTTTGACAAGCTATCTACAGTGGAATTAAGAAAAGTATATAATTTATGATACTGATAGGCTCGTGCAAAATTGCCAAAGAAAAGGAGACGAGTGTTGCAAGCACATGAAATTAAGACTCCACTAAAATTCTCAAAATCAAGAAAGAAGTCTCATGACGAAAAGAGTAATATATTTATTATTTTGTGGATCTGTCAAGTTTTGATATTATTTGGTTAATATGAATAAAAATACATACTAAAAAATTGAAAAGCAATAGAAATTTAAATCATTTTTTCAGATTGGTACGCAGCAGCTAAATATTATATCATTATTAATATTACTTTCATTATTCGTAATAAATCTAAAATACTTTTTTTTAAATTGCAGAATCATTATCATTATCGCAATTTAATGTCACGCAACATCTCAGTCCTGTCACACGTCCTAAAGTTTTTACGCATCCATCAAGTACTTTGTTGCCGGAAAAAAAATTCAATGGTGGCCTTGGCTTCGGTGATGGATTAATGCATTCAGAGAAATGATTTGCGAGTATAAGTGAAAAAATACCTCACTTTAACTAATAAATTCATCTGTCAAGCAATCAATAAGTAACCTTTACCCCTCATTATGATATAATAGAATATATTTTGCCCAACAACAGCAATTTATTGGCAATTTTTCAAAGTTTGACATAATGACTTGCTTTCTTATCATCATTTCGTGCATTGGTGCTTGCTTTAAATGTGGTTTGTTTGTCTATTTTTCCCTTTGCTTGTTATCAAATGAAGTGAATGGATTAGTTTGAAAAGTGACACTTGAAAAATAAAAATAACTATTTTTGACAGCAAATAATCATATTGTGTACTATTTTATAGTTAAATAGTACTTTCGATATTTAGTAACTATCGCTTACAGTATGAAATATAAAGATTTTGTTCTTTGAAAAGAGTAATTTTGATTCAGTAAAGCAGACATCAATCTACTTTACATATTTTTGAGTGATTGACGAATCGCACTATTTTAAAGTTCAGATATAATATTTTGCACAAGTTAAAAATTTTAATGAAAAATTTGCAATTTTCTGTTCAATAATTTGTGGTGAGCAAGTTTTTCTCACGTAGAAGCTACTTTATTACATAACCTTTTACTTTTTTCATTCATGGTATTGTTTCTTATCACGCATTGTACAAGTATTTTTGATTAGTTTTCGTTACCTTCCAATGGCTTCATGGTCCATGCATTACCATATGAAACATATTCTCAAAGACGCTTCGATTTGCAGTTTTCAGAAATACAAGGAATCGACATCTCCGTACATTACTTTCATTTATTCATAAGCTCTTTAAATTATGTAAATTTAATCATATATGTTTATATTTATGAAAACATTTGATATAAATTACATCATCTATTAGTTTATAACAGAATATGGAAGACAAAGATGAAGTATAACGAGTAAAGCAATGCAAAACTTTACTAAAATGCACTAAACTTAGTTTATTCATTCAGTAATTTTTGATAAATCTTATACTACAACAGATGATATTGATTGTCTTCAGAAGTTTTTTTTTTCTGTATTTAATAAATTAACTGTAGTTATGAAACTGTATTTGTAGTTTAGATGTGTCACTTTTAGTTTAACATTTTATTTAGTGATTTTATTTCGCATGCGCTTCTTAAATCCAAAACTTTCCCTTATCAAATAAATATTCACTTAAAATGTATGAAGTAATTCTTTAGAATGTCAACTCGTAAGCATAATTGTTAAGGTTTGAATGTGAATGATAAAAAAAAATAGGAATTGCTATTTTTTAGCTAGGAAAGATGAACTTTAATAACAGACAATGATTTATTTTAATGTTTGTACCAAAAAATAGTTAAGAGCAAATATTTTGGTATTTAATTTAGTTCGAAAATTTTATTCAATGATGCCTGAAGGCAATAAGGATTAATTATAAAATTGTTTTGTGCTTTTGCTTGTGAGAAAATAAAATGAAAATTGATACATACAAAGTGGTCATTTTTCCAATTAATTTCTTAAAAATTTAGAAAAATTTTTGAATCAAATAAGAATATTTGACAATAAATAATAATTGTTTTGAAGTAAGAAACAACAATTTCATGAATACAAAAGACTCATGCTTCAAATCGTTTTCTCTTTTATTTACGCAGCATACTTCTTGATATCAAAATATTCACCGACGAAATATTAAAAAAAATACTGAAGTTACCAGTGGTCACTGCAAAGTTAGAATATTAATGGATTGAAAACACTTTAATGTTAAACTTTGTTACAAAAAAGAAAGGTAATAATAGTTATGCTAGTAATAGCAATTAAAATAGGTGGAGGACAAAAGAAACAAGTCATATATTTACAGGTGGTTTCGGTCATATCTATATTTTTTGTTATCACGTCAATCATTTGTTTCTGTTTGAAAACTCAGCCGGATTTACGCATACCAGACATCAATATTGAATATAAAAATGATACCAGTCATTCATTATTTCTCACCAAAGTGGCTACCAGGTAAAAAATTTTTATTATCAAAGATTTGTACTGCCTGAAATTTGCATGTAAGGCTTTTACAAGAAGTTTTCTTAACTTCATATGAAATGTATTTGTTCACTTAGTATTCAGTCAACAATATTTGCAAGTACAAATCACTTGGCATGAATCTTGAAACCTTGATTACCTTATTTTGTTTTAAAATTTTCTTTTTAATTCAGATAGTTTTTAGTACCGTAAATAGTTATAGTAGTAGTTGAATTTTTATACTTGAGAATGATGTTTTGTTGAAGATTACATTAAGTTAGCTCAAAATATGTAAGATTAAACATGCACAGTTATGTTTTAGAAAATAATTAATTATATTAACTGATTATAATTTGGTTAATATTGTAAATGGTCATTTGAAATCGTGCTCAGTTGAAAGTTCAAAAACATATAAGTAAAAATTTATATACTTTGCTACTTAGATTTGTTCAATAATCATGATTGTACCAAATTTTCAAGGATACTTTGTATCTTGAAAGTTTTGAAGAAATTGTTTCAGACCACATCCAGCGTTTTTTTACGTTGAATTGGTAAGCAACATTTGGTTTACAATGGAATTGCTGGTACGCTTTTTATTCTGCCCGCAAATGTTAAAATTCATTCGGCAGCCCGCTAATATCATCGGTAAATTCCGCTTTGGCTTGTTATATTTGTAAAAAACAAAAACGAAAATTCTTGATCGAAACAAATATTGAAAATGAAAATATTTCCATAATGTGTCAACTTAATCCTCAAAGATATTAAATTGAAATTCGAAACTAATTTCAAGGAGATAATTTTTTTAAAAATATAACGTCAAGCCATATTAGCTGTAAATTTTACAAATTTTTAGATCTGATAGCGACGTCATCATTTTATGTTGATTGGGCTTTAGATCAAGCATTCTCAGGTGCAAACCGGGATACCATTGAATTCTTCTCTATTATTCGTATCTTACGATTATTTAAACTTACTCAACATTCTTCAGGATTGAAAATTTTGATTCAAACATTCAAAGCATCTGCCGAAGTACACTTTTATTAGATTTCATTTAAAATTTTATATTTTCCAAGCAATAAATTATTTGTTCAAAGAAATTAAATTAATTCTCGATTTGTTCTACATTTGCTTGTTGAAAATATTTCAGGAGCTGTTGCTTTTGGTGTTTTTTGTTCTGCTTGGAATAGTAATATTTGCTGCGCTAGTTTATTATGCAGAACGAATAGAACCGAATCCTGACAATCAGTTTGATTCCATTCCTGTAGGGCTGTGGTGTAAGCTATGAAATTTACTACTTTTATCTTACACATCAAACTTAATTTTTCAATAACTATTTTAGTTTATCTCGAAATTTATTTGATTTATGGAAAGTTTTTTGCAATTATTTTTAATCGAAAATGTAATCAGTTGATTAACTACTTGTCTTACAGTTACTTGAAAATAGATTTATTCATAAAAAACAACAAATGCCTTTTTTAAATTTGTAGGGGCAATTATTACGATGTGTACTATTGGTTTTGGGGACATGGTGAGTTAGCTAATTATGACTGTAATATTTAATAAGATTGTATCTCAATCTGAGCAGAAGAACCAACAATTAAAAGATCTTCACTATAAAATGTATTCTGAGAAGTGTTGAAAGAGAAAACTGAAATTTCAGAAATATCAAGTATTTCTGATGCACTCGATATCTAAAAAAATAGAATGCTACATGATTTAGTACAAAAACGGGATAAATTAGCTATTTTTGCATTAAAATATCAATTTCTTAAAACTTTTTGTTAAATTGAATTGTATGCAGAAAATTTTAAACAAAAATTTTGCTAGTTCATAGTAAAATATGACAACTAAAAATGCTCTGAAAATTTGAAATTGAATGGTAGCACGAGTAAATTTATAAAATAGAAAATATGCTCTTACTATTTGTTATAAATATTACGTTTATCATTTGTGATTTTTTTAACAAGATTTTACATATCTCGTTTTCAGTATATATAAAAGTGACATACTCTATGAAAAATTATTCCATAGTTCAAAATAATTAGTAAAAAATCAGTTTTAGGTTCCTAAGACTTATTTGGGCATGTTAGTTGGTTCAATTTGCGCTCTAATGGGAGTACTGACCATAGCACTACCTGTACCAGTTATAGTCTCTAACTTTGCAATGTTTTACTCACATGCTCAAGCACGGTATGTTCAATTTTGAGTTTCATGCATTGTACATCATTTGTTTTTATCTTTGGTTTCTTTAAAGAAGGAAATCAAATTAAGCTTGCAAAAAAAATGAAAAATTTTAGCTCAAAGTTACCAAAAAAACGACGGCGTATATTGCAACCACATGAAATCAAGTCAATAGTTGGAAAATTGGCTACAGTTACAGTTTTCAGTAGTTTGACTGATAAAAATCCTTCACCAATTCATTCTGCGCATGTATGGGGGGCATTATCTGCAACAACGCCACTTCTGATGTACCCAAAACAAAACAATGAGACCGATAATCACTGTCAAGCAGAAAAAAATGTTGTAAATAAATAATATTTTTATCATTGTATTTTTGAGTTATCGACAAAATATATCTTAGCCATGCTATTAATGATTTAGTTTAAAAAATTTTCTTACAGTATAATAGAAAATACTATGTAATCTTAACTACAACTAAATTTTTGCAAGTATTTTTAATTATATTATTTGTGAATAAATCAATGTACAGTATCTATTTTCGTGGACTTTCTGAAAGAAAAAAAGTTCATAAAAATTAGTTCTGTAAACAGAAAGATTGATTGTTACGATCACAAAAAAGTTGTCAAAACTAACAAAAATTTGGTTCAGTAATTGAAATTGAATTATTTTTGTTTTCCACAGATCAGTTAATCCCTTGCAAAGCACGTAAATTATTTTCGTCTGCTAGTTGTGCAGATCATACTTTACATATTTCTTTGACCTAGTGATCATTAAACTGCTGACTAAGTCATGGAATTTGTTTCAAACAGATGATGGTGATGAATTATAATGATGGAAAATTTATGCAGAGAATTTCTGATATTACTGAGAAACTGAAAATAGAAAATAGCATTAAATTGCAGGCAGTGTGTGAGATTTTACAGAAATTTCGATCGTTTGACTTTTTTTATTATGGTATTGTATTTGCTGATTTTTATTTCAGTAATATTTTATTCATGAAAATATTTTTATTTGTGATATTATAGGTGTTTTGGCGTTTCTTGAGTATTAATACAAGAAAGTATTTCGAGTATTATTACTTTTGTTTTTATTAAAATTATTCGACAGTGTCGTAAATTTTATGACAAAATTTTCAGTAGTATAAATAATGCGAAGCGACAAGAACTACAAAAATAAATCTCATTTTTGTCTTATTTGCAAAATTTTTTTCGATTAATTTTAATTACCTCAAATAGCTTTAATAGATTTTTGGTCTTATCCTTTTTTTATATGTTTCTGCGAACTGCAAATTTGTTTTCACAATATGTTTGAATTAGTTATGATTTAAAAAAAAACTTTTCAAATTACTGAAATTTAAAATAATGATAATTTTAGTACTTTAAAATTTTTTAAAGAACATTAGTCCACTAAAAATAATAATGATAATAGAATAACAAAATACCTGAGACTTTTTCTAATGCCTGCTTTAATTTATTCATGTACAAAATATTTGCCACATTCCTTTCTACTACCATACAACAAACAGTAAATTGTATGAAATAATTCCTTTCCTCACTTTATTCATTGATAAATTTTTGAAAACTTTTCAGAAATGAAATTAATTAAAAATACATGTAACTATAAGATTTCATTGAAAAATTTTTGGATTTTTAGCATTTCAAAAGGTCACATATTAATTTTTCTCAAAGGTTCATGCTTTTGAAAGAATTTTTCCTTGCTTATAAAGCCTGGGAAACTGATGAAATTTGTGAAGAGTCTAGCTCGCTACTCTCCCCTTCAATTTCTTTTTCAATAACTTGCAATTTCCTATTTGTAAAACATAGTTATGCCATAAAAAATGAAGCAATTTGCATGATAAAAGAAAGCGTATCGAAGTGATCTAAATGTTTTTTTTAAAGTGACTTTTAGCTTTTTTATTTTTTGAATTTCTCCATGTGAAGAAAAGTGAGGAGAAAAGCGCGACTAATGGTATTTAAATAACATTTTTACAGTACCATTAACAGATTTGGTGCAGTGTAACGAAAACTACCTAATTTTTTGAATTCATTATGTGAAAGTCAATTATTAGTATTTGCAATTTTATTACATTAATAAATGCAAAATTTAGCAACAAAATATTAGCACAGGAAAGGTTATAGCTTAAGTAAACTTTTGTATACAAAGACAAAATCGTTAGTAAATTAGCCTCTATGATTATAAAAATGTACTTATTTACTGCAGGAATAATTATTTCAAGGATGATTATTCAAAAGTAATTTTTAAATTTTTTCAAAATATCAAGTATCTAACTGCTTTTCATTGATAATTATTGAATTTTGAAGTTAAATATGACAAGATATAATGATTGTTCATAAAATAGCAATCAAAAAATCGATCAGTCTTTTGATTGTTTTGCTTTATTTTTACTAACATATTTTTTTACTACAAATGTATTTTTTGCTAATAATTAAGTTCAAATAAAAGTAAGTAAAATTTTGTAATAACTTACTTATTAGAGTTATAATGAATTTAGTAATAAGTTAAAAAGTATTTGATTATTTATTGCATTATTATTAGTACTGTCTTAAAGAGTTAAAAACAAGAGCATAAATAATTACAATAATAGTAATGCTAATGCAGTGATTTTTCTGAACTTACTTGCATGTAATAAGCAATAATTGATGCGAAGAAAGCAAAAAAAAAAAAATTGGTCAGACTGTTTGAATTTAATATTCAAACAAACATTCAAGCAATCTATTCTATTCAGCTTAAACCTATCTCTCTGTTTAAAGCCATAACGAAACGTTTCTGCTTGCTTTCGCCTGTTCCTGTTTTCACCGTTCTTATCGACAAAAGCATAACTTAAGAGAGAAAATTATGCCTAAAAAAAAGAAAAAAAGAAAAAAGATGAAAGGAATATATTTCGGCTTTGAGAAAAGCACATTTTTTCGGCTGTTTTTTTTTCTTTTTTTTTGTTGACGTACAGACTTCTGATAGCGAAAATCTTTTGTAACACGCATAGGTTACCGTAGATTCTTGATACAACAATAAGGTATTAAAAATGCTTGCATTCTGTTGCATGCAAAAAAAGTGGGCGTAAAAGCTAAAAGCACAAGCAAAAAGAATTAATATAGCTTCTGAGCTAAAATAACTTTACTGCTAGTAAAAAAGTTAACATAGTAAGGTCACCACCATTTTATTTCTTTACATATTTTCATTAATCATTCTTATCATCTTATCATTATTTTTGAATGCTGCATTCATAGCTGACTGTTGCAAATGCATTCTACTTTTAATCATTTTACTTTAATCATTGCTTATTGTCAAGTTATTAATGCAATAAAAAATGCTTATAAACATTTCAATTGCTTTAAAAGCTGTTATTTTTTTTTTAATACTAATGCTCTTATTATTACTAATGCTATTATTATCGGTGTTATTATTTGTATACTTATTTAAAAAGTAAACAAATCATTCATTTCTCGTTAATATTTCCACACATAATGAATAAATTTTGTATTATGAGCATGATGTGCATTTTGTTTGAAATAAACTTTTCTGAAATCATTCGTTAGTTTTATAAAATGAATCAAAACATGAAAATATAGTGAGTAACTGAAATCAGTTTCCATTATGATCTATAAAATGTTTAATATAAACTTTAAATTTCAGAAAAAAAAGAGAGAGTATAAATAGAGAAAAACAATTTTTAAATTCGATAAAAGTTTGTAGTAACAATATAACGCATTGAAAAAAGAAAATAAATATTAGTAAAGAACAGTTTAATTCGGTAATTTTTTTGCTGCAGTTCGTTAGCTACAAACCAGGTGATACAAAAAGGTCAAGGGGCGCATACGACGGTTTCTAATTAATTTTTTTACTACCTATCCAGTGAAAACGATTTTTTTTTCTTCAAAAACAATCCTTAAGAAAAGATGCTCATTCATGATTCAGAATTTTCGAATCTTAACCTTTGTCTACACTGTAAACAAATTTTTTTTTTCGAGATTATCTATTCGACTAATCTATTTTAATTTCAATAAATGACACAGTTTTAAATATCTTGCCACTAGATTATTTAGTAATGCCTTGTTGATTTTGTTTTTATTCTGTGATAAACTGATAGTTCAATTTTACTTTGATTTGTAGTTGTGGCTTTGAATCTTCATGATATTCATGATACTGAAAAGGATATTTTGTATTAAAAAATGTATTTGTTATGTATGAGATTTAATTATGCTCTTAAGTCTATCAAATTTATCACTTCTCAAGATAAAAATGGTAGTTAGTTACTCTTGAAGTAAGTCAATCTACAAAAATCAAATTCAACTTTTCCTCAAAATTGTACAGTTCTGTTAAAGCTACTAAGAAATTTGTCTAAAATTAACGAAGACCCAATTAAAAATTTTATATTTCATGCATTAAATTAAGCTAAATTTAATTTAATAAGTAACAGCAATTGGAAAGAAATACGTTTTTTGACATTTGCAAACTCAAAAAAAGCAAAGACATTTTTATAAAGTTTAATGCATGTTTCAAAAATAAATTCATAGACAAATATAATTATTTTAAAAAACCCACAATAGTATTTCTGATTTCAGAAATATGGTTTTTCAAATGTTTTATAAAATAATTTCCCAAAATTGTTATCAGTATGATCAATCACTTTGCAATTTATCACAAAATTTGGTCAAAAAAATTTATGTTTAGATTAGTTATTTCAAATTATTACAAAATAGTTTTATTCAATGCAAATGTTAAGTTTAACTTCAAGTTATGCAAAACCATACATTCAAATATGCTAAATTTATCAATTTTTTTACGCTTTAAAAAGTGATAGTCAAGCTGATAAAATTTCATTTGGATATCATTTGAAGAAGATATAAAATGAAATAAATATAGCAGGAGTTCTACATTGAAATTTGATATGGAATTTTTACTTTACGAACCAATTCAGTGACAAAGATTCTTAGCTTTGCTTTTTTTTCTTCTATTCGTAACACTTAATCTTTCATGTACTCCTTATGAAAAACTAGTTTTTCTTCAAACATCACCAAAATTTAACCGGAAAAAAGTTCATGCTGGAAAACAGTAAACAGAAACAAACATATGTTGTTTTTGTTTTTTTATTACACGTAAAATAATTGTTTGGAATATAAATTGAAACATTTTGCAAAAGTTGATATGATGAGAGGAAGAAAAGCGCAACACTGTCGTCGTTTCTACTAAATTGTTATTTTCATTTGTTGCATTCCATTGAATACTTCAAATGACAATCTTTTTTGTCTTATTATTTATCTACAATTCTATTTATTTATATATTTATCAATTATCAAAAAGTTGAGGTACCAGAAAATTTATGAGTAATAATAATTAACTTTGAAATGATGAAAGTGTGAAAATAGATAGAAATTTTAAGTACTAGGAAACGAAGCAAGTTAACGGAATTGTAGTGATGAAGAAAAACACGATATTATCACTATAATTTGTTTCTTCAAAGTCTTTTAACTAACACACTTTTCGAAACTTGAAATCAACACTTTTTCAAGCTTGTCAAAAAGACTCATTTATAAATGCACAGGGCATTTTTACTGCAATGGACTTTTAAAATTGCTCTGTTTAAAATTATTTAAAATTTACTGTTATCTTTAGATATAATAAACAAATTATGATACCAAATATATGCATTTCAAAACTTGTATAATAATTGCATTTTACATCATAAATGACTATTAAAAATACTATAAAACCTTTAAATTCAATTTTGAAATATCTTAAAACTTATCAAAAGAGAAAAAAGCGAAAAGCAACATAAAACTGATTCAAACAATTACAAAAATTCATTTTCTTTTTCTGATATCTGCTAAAAACTTTTTACAAATTTGAAAAAGCAAATTTTTTTTTCTGATAAAAAATTTGTATTAATGGTTGTCTTGCAGATTTTGTACTATTTTTTTCTCATTGTGTGCTTTACTCGTAGTCATTGTGATGATTGTTTGAAAAATTTTTTCGATAATTATAGTACTTTTGAGAAATCACACCATCTTCGTCTTTTATTTGGATTATGCAGCGCAATTTATTTATTAATTCTTTCAAATTATGGCTTATAGATGAATTTGCTGATTTGCATTTAAAATAAGAAACCATAAATGATTTATTTGAATGCTCATATGCAAACACCATTTACATCAATTTAATGTAGTGTAAATTTTAATTTAGAATTAATTCTGAAAATCTAATATTATTAATACTACAAGAATAGTCTTCCTAGTTGAAAATGACAAAAAGTATTGTTTCGAAGAATAAACAAATCATTACAAATTTTGTATTTTCAGATCTTTCAGCAAAAATTTCAAATTTACCATACAAAATACAGTTTCAGAAAAAATCAAAAAATTAACAAATTAAATGAAATTACTACACTTTAAAATAGAAACACAAGTTGATATGTTCCACTTACTTCATAAAAAATTTATAATATTTTAACTTTGGAGCACAAAATGACGAAAGCAAAATCTCTCAACGTCATTAATAATGACGTTAAAAGCAGTTTGCTTGAAATTTTCCTTGAAAAAAGTTGAAATTTTTATTCACTTCAAGAATAAAAGTACTAATTATTGCTATCACCAATAGTGGTAATGATAAGAATTGGAATAGCATTAAAGTTCAAATAGAAATACTATTTACTGAGATAAAAGTAATACTTATGATTATTAGACATTTAATTTTTCAAAGAATAATTGAGGATAAAAGAAAATTTTTAATATTTTTTTTTTGAACAATTTTGTTTGTGACATTTTTCATACTTTCCATACATCCATACACGGGCATGATTGTGTTAACTGACGCACTTTTTTTGTTTTTCTTATTTTTTAGCAAATTTTTTCTTCTTATAAAAAGGAAAGTTTTTTTTTTCGGGAAACAACCTTTTCGCAAAAGAAGTAAATTTTACTTTTTTTGCGAAAACCTGCTTGTCTACAGTTGTGCTATCATCACTACTCTGTTGCAGGAATAAATTGAAAAACAAAGTCCGTATAGTTAACTACTTTTTTTGAAGGGTGCAAATTTGTTATTTTTCTGTCACTTGTTGGTTCGTTTGGTATAACACTTCAAAAGTAATTCTATTTATTTAATATTTACTATCAAATTTTTATGCATTATTATTTTTAAAATATTAAGTGAAAATTAAATTTTTCATCATCAATAGCATTAGTTTGTAGCTTTGGCGCTCAATCATGCTAACTTCCACAAAAGATGATATAATGCAAGCAAAAAAAATAAACTTAATGTAATTTTTATATCTTTTTTACGAATGATTCAGCATAGAGTTTTGCATTTTAGGAATCATTTCGAGGTTAGAATTGCCTGGTACGGTATTGATGAAATATTTTAAATTAGAATCATATCCTGAAATAGCAAAAATAATCGAGCGGATTTTATTTATGTGTAGAAAAATAGTATTTCATTTTAGATTACAAAAAACTAGAACATATATTGTTAAATTATGAGATTGAATTTGCAAAATGATGCAAAAGTCAAATTGACTGTAAATTTCTGTGTTACAACTGTGAAAATTGAGTTTTATAAAAATATTTATCAAGTTAGGGCATAAATTTTTAATTATGGATTGATAGCAATACTTGATGAATTGTTTTGTCAACGAAAATTGTTTCTTTTTTTGAACGGAAATTTTATTTTAGCTGGAATTAGTGCAATTAATTGTATATTAATTGTATAACTGAAATTGACGATTGTGTAGAATTTATATAATTGTTAACAGTCATACGATTAAATTAAACTTTGATTGGATTGCTACTTCGCTTTGGTATCATTTCTGATAATCATTTTGTAAAAGTGGTTATTTATGTAAATTTTTATTACAAATGAATAGCAGAATTTGTGATAGTTCAGATGGCATGGCTCTGAATTTGGAAAAAGAAGCTCAATTACAACAAGCCATAACTGCCTTCATGCAGCCACCGTTCTTTAATGATATTTGCATTCGTATCGTTACCATTGATTTGATTAATGGACTAAGAAGTGGTATTTTTTTCAAACAATCAAAAGCAAATTTCATTTTTAAATAGAAATAGTTTGAATTTGAAATAGTTTTGAAAAATTAACGAACTATATATATTTTTCTGTCAAACGTAATTGAGTAAAATTATTTGCAATTTATCACTGATAAAATATTGTTTTAAAAATGAGGTGTAGAAATTTCAGAGGAGCAAGTGCTAGCAAATAAATTTTTACTAGCATTTTTTTCATTGCATCTTCGTGAACTAATTTTGAGCGGTATTTATTCAATTGATGGTAGCAGTGGTATGTTAAATAATATACCAACAGTTGAATTGCATCTTGGTACCATTGCTAATGCAGGACAAGCTTTTCGAGCTATTTTACGATATCTTTATACAGGAGTGCTAGCTTTCACTACTGTACATCCATTTCAGGTCAATATTTTATTGTTAATTAAATTGAATTAGAAGTACATCATTTGAAGTTTTTATTAAGTAAAACTTTCATTTGAATTTTAAAAAATTCGCTTTAAAAAAACAATTTCCGACCACCAAGCTTTTATTTATTTGCTAAGCAATATTCCGCCTATTTTATGCAAATTTGATTCACAATTTGTTGAAATTTAAAAAAAAAGATCACTTTACAGGTTCTTCAAGTTTCTCGAATCTGTCGAATTCCTATGGTAGAAATGCAAGTAACAGAATTCGTGCAGCAGCTGCTATCAATACAATTCGATGAACAGCATTGTTTTGCCAGACTGTCTAATATAAATCTAAGTAATTTTTTTCTTACTTCAAAATCACGTAATTGCGCTGATATGTAATAGAAGTCATTGTCTTTGATTATTTGCAGTCTGAGCACTATGTTTATAAACTTGCGCACTTAATTTACAGCAAAAATTTTTGGACATTTTTGCCAGTAAGTAGTTCATTAGTTTTACACTTTTATGTCATTTACAAAATTGTTTCATAAAAGAACAAATTATAATAACCTTGCGTAAATTAGTCTTTCACAAGATTATTTAGCAAATTCAAATCCAGTGAATTTGACTAAACACCGCCATTATGACTCGATACTGATGAAAACAAAAACTAAAGAATCCACAAAAATGAGTGTTGGAGATATAATAGCAAGAAGTAATTTACCTATGTAAGTTAAAATTTATGAAAGTACCATAGCCAATTTGTATTTCTTTATTGTGCTGAAAACTTATGATTAGATATAATGCCGTAATGAAAATCAAAACACAGATTCAACTCATAAACTAATAAAATTTAACAGAATGTAGTAAGTAAAACGAAACTAGTTTTTATGCAACTTACATAATTTTTTGAGTTTGTCAAATTTTTCAGTCCACGTAAACTTGCATATTTTAGCACATCATCAAATACTTCTTCCTTAACAGGAAGATCAGGAAATATGGAAAGATTCAATGAGGTCATTTTACCAACTAATGAGAAAGAAGGTTGAATTTCGAATACTGCTTAATAAGTCTAAAATATGCTTCAGTATTTCCTGAGAACATGATTTGTTGAAAAAAAAATTTACCACTACTTTATTTTAATTCTGAAAATAAAATTAAGTAAACATTAAGTGAAATAGATTTTAGGTTGGTGCCGCAATAAAAAATACATCGAACAGGTAGCAAACGGTTACATGTGCACAGTATGCCGCAAAGTATATGGTCGGTATAATTCGGTGTCATATCACGTTACGATATACCACCGTAATCCACCAATAAAATGTGGCGAAAAAGGTTGTCCATTCAGGACTCGTGAAGCAAGATATATTCATTTTCATAAATATTATCGACATCATATTCCATTACCGGATAACATTGATTTAGGTCAGAATTATTACTAAGATTTTTATTACATTGATGACTTTTTTGTGCTTAAAATTTAAATTAAATATTAAATTTATTCTCAGTGTGAAACTGACAAAGATCTTTTTTAATTTCTATCTTTTTCCCATATTAAAAAATGCAAAAATTGCCAGATAATAATTTCTTTCATACGCTCCTAACATTGTTTGGTAGGCTCACGAAAGTGTCCATTTTGCCGTCACGTGTCAAAAAGTCCAGCAATGCTTGAAAAACACATTAGTCGTCACGTACAAGATATTGATAAAACTGCCGTTCCTTCTAGTTCTTCATCTGCTAGACTGTCACCAGGTCATTTTCAACTTGCTTCTCAGGCAGTTACTGATTTGCAATGTTCACAATGCTGTTATAGGTGTGTTTTACTTGCAGTGAATTCAAATTTTTGAATGAATTTAAAAAATGATTTATTATAAAATGAATAAAATGAATAGTATCATTTTATGTTTTATAATTACAATACTCACTCTAATTATGAATTATACGTTTATTGCATACATCCATATATTTTTTGTACAAACATTGAAAAAATGAATCTATAAAGGTAGATCATTCAAATGTAGAGGATTTCACAAAGTAGTGTTCTTAGATAAATTAGACACGGAGGTTTGTTTTTTTCTTCTTTTTTTCATGCTTGGAGAAAAGTGAGCAATTATTGAGATATTTCAGCTTATTATTACCATTGCATTTGTTGATTATCAAATAATAATCTCTATGACAAATATTTTCAAAACTTTTAAATAATGTAATGATTCTATAGAGGACAGGCATCTGATGACTTAGAACAGCATAAGCAATTTGTTCACGGCAAAGAATTCTTCCAGCCGAAGGACAACTCACTACCTGTAGAAATCAGCAAGGCGGAAAGTGTTACTGACGAAGATTTTGAACGGTTTGATTCATTAATTGTTTACAGCTACAGAAATAATAGCAATTTATTGCATGAAATCAAATTTATGTCAAATATTTTGATTAAGAAAGTTTTCTTCCTTTCGTCTAAATTTTAGTTTTTAAATAAAATATAATCAAAAATTGTAAGATACTGTATGCTGCCGTAGTTTATCCAAAAATAATATTCAAACTTTCTTGAAAATAGAATGCATATATTTCCAGATTTTACACAGCAGTTACTATTATTGTTTTTTTTTTCAAGAATTTATAAATTCCACTATTTTTTTTTTCAAACAGAACAACAAATGATTCAGCAACAATTATCACTTCGCCAGCAACAAGTGATAAAACGGCAACAATCACTTCTACGCTGAAGCTCAAAGCAGTTTGTCTCGAAACGCCCAAAGCATAAAATTTCAATTTCACTTTTAAAAGTATGATAATTATTTGATTTGCAGAAAAAGAAATAAACATATTCATTTAAAAATGCAAGCTTATCATAAAAAGTCAAAAATTAACTGCAACATATTGTGATACACTGCACGCTCCTTATATCAAATTTCTGTCTGCGTAAGGCTCTTCAGGAATCTGTAAATCAACAAATTTTCTGGATGAAATAAAAACTTCTTAAATCATTTTTTACAATAATAGTTATGCAGTTCACATGAAATTATCTATGCAGCTGCAAGATCATTAAATAGTGATCATCTGATGATATTTACAAATTTTTTGATTAAAAACAAATTACTATCTTATTATATATCGTGTTTATGCTATCAACATGAAATGTATCTTTAGCTTTATACTTCATCTCAATGAATGTTATGTTTTTGGTATTTACAATAGTTTTAAATTTTGCATTTTTTTGTATAATTTTATCTTTAGCGCATAATGTTGTTTGAAAAGTGATATAAAAGAATGATCTAATATATATGATAAATTCATGTTTTCATACATTTGAAAAAATATTTTTGCCATGAAGTTATTGAGTAATTAAAACTTTTCGTCAACTCTCTTTGACTTAAAAAAAGTTAGAAACCAGAACGAATAATTTTTATCTTTATGCTTTTTTTAATAAAGCATAAAAATAATCATGCTTATTTTTATGATTTTGTAACATTCATCGAGTAGATACAAGAAATGAATAGATGCATATTTCGATATGTCGACTTCATTTTGAAAATATCAAAACTCTTCTCATCGTACAGTTTTGAGACTTTATCAGTAATTTACTACTATTATCATTACTGTTGATCATTTTTTGCTTCACGTACTAATCTAAACAACCAAATGATTAAATTATTCATCTATAGAAAAACAATCTACAGTTGAAACTTTCACTTTTCTGCGATATTTTAAATCTTTTAAATATCTTTTCAAGTCTCAAATAATCTTACTTACACAAATCGTATGAAAAACCATGATAGTTTTTGTAACGTTATTTCTCCTAATATAATATTCGAAAACTAATCATTATCAGAAGATTTTTCTTCAAGCTTTATTTTACTAAAATCAGTTTCAATTACGATAAAATTTTTCATGTTTCACTGGCTTATTAGTTTGAACGTGGAAAAAAAACGAATAGAAACGTTTTTATGCCAAATTTTGATAGTGTTTCGTCCATAAATTGTTACACTTATTGATGCCCGCTTCAGAATGATCTCAAAATACTTCATTGCAAATGAGACGATAACCTCTTATTTGATAGTATCTGAATTTGAGCTTTTAAAAAATATATTAATGCAGTTTGTCATCGTCATTTCTTGGTTTAAGCTAATAAATATCGAGCATTTACTAGTTAATGCCATAAAGTTTAAAGCTTCGGTATTCCCGAAGCTTGAAAACACTCAAAAGCAAATGTGCAAAAAAATATAAGTCACTTTTGACAACAAGCATTTGATCTCACTTTTATAAGACATTTGTAGCATTTACCGCGCTATTCGGCGTAATGAAAACTGTACAAAACTAGATATATTTACTACAAAAATATTGTATTTGCGAACATGCCAAAAACTAATCTAATAAAATTTCACTTTGTCATATTTTATGAAGCGTAAAATATGTACAATCAAATAAATTTGCTTAGATTAGTTTTATAAAGAGCAATTATGATAATTAATTCATGATTACATTTGAAAATAATAATTATTTCTATAAAAGTATGGAAGTATTTGTTGAGCGAAAAGCAATTTTTAAAAAATTTATCATTTTGTACTGCATTGAGTTTTATTCAAAGTTAATATTTTATTCAATTTGCAAAAAATTTGCAAATTAATTGCTCTGATCAATTATTTTTGAATTATTTTACACTGTTTTTCATCATAACAACAGATGTCACCGAAATAGATTTCATTTTTAGTGTATGAGTAGAATTGTTTCAACAACAAATAAAAATTAGCTAAACTGAAATTGTAATCAAAAATGTTGCAAAAAATAATTTTACTCGTTAATGTCATAAAGTTTAATGTAGAATGAATAAAGAAATAAACTTTGCTGCCTTTATTCATTGTACCTTTTTGCAATATTCATTACTGGCCTGAAATTCGAAAACTTTACTTTGCAAAGTTTTCCAATCTTTCTTGATTTCTTTATTAGTATTTAAAAACTTCGAAAGACAATCTGAAGTCAAAAGTCCAAACTTCATTCTTCTTTTTTTACACTTTTAATACGTATTTGATTTGAAATCTATTCTGTTTTTTCATTTTTTTTGTCATGTTTTCCCTTTTTTATTTATTAATAAGACGGCTTTTTCTACGCATTTTCAAAATTTCTGATTAACTATTTTGGTTCTGCACTGCATGTATACTGTAAAATTTTTGTACAAATGTAGCAGATATTTTGGTACTGTTTGGATTTTTTGGTACTGTTTGGATTTTTTGGTACTGTTTGGATTTTTTCTCACATTTAAATTTTTTCAATAAAAAATTGGTCATTACAAAACAAACTAATTCAAAATTGATCCAGCCTTGCCGAATCAATTTTATCACATTAATCCGTTTTACTATTCAGAGTAAGCGAAGGTAAATCCATATCTGGCATTACAGGATCCACACTGCGCAGTGTATCATCTTTTCTTTCCTAAAATCAATCAATACGAACTTTCAATCTTTCCTAAAAAGTTAAAAAAGGGAAACAAAAGTATTAAAATTTAAAGTGAATTTACTGAGTTGCTATTGCATATGATCGAATTTGAAAAAGTTAAAATATTATCATGCTGACCTTTGTCTCTGAAATCTTATAATAAAATTATCGATTTTGTTACGAAGAAAAATGAATTGAAATTACTGATCGCAGCATCAAAAAATAATCGAAATAACAAGTAACCATTTTAGGCTTTTTTTTCAATTTCTTAGATTCATCACTGTCTACAGTGATACCTATTTCAGCATATTTCATTTCCAAGTCCATCTGTGTTGTGGTGCTAAAATCAGAAGAATAAAATTGAACTTTCACCTTGTAAAATGTTTAAATCCTTTTCCAAATTTTAATTTGTCTTTCAAAAACTTCAGAATATCTCAGTCTCATTATAATTTGCAAGTTCCCTTACTGAAATTACATTATATTCAAAAAATATTTAGGTACAAACTAGTTTATATGTTAAATTTTTCACGCAAGTTTTTTTTTTTTTTCAAAAACTGAGAAAAAAGAAAGAAAAAACAAAACTTACTCTGTAGAAGGGACGGAAAAAAGAGATGATTGGTAGTATGAGGTTTCATGTTTGGAGTTTGATACTTTTGTACGAGTCTGTGGATTATTCGATTCCTTTTTTTTCATTTTCGACTACACATAAAATAATTCATAATGAAAGCAAAAATATTCAAAACTGATTGCAAGATAGTATTTTTATACTTTTTTAAATGAATTCGAAAACAGAACAATATTTTGGAGCATCTAAATGAATACAACAACTATTCACTATTCACTATTCACTAATATTTCTAGATAGTTGCAATAAATAAAGTTATAATTTCTTGACATTACTAATTTCGAACAGTTTACTGAAGCAAAACCAACCTTATCAAAGTGAGAAGACGCTTGCTTTGTCAATGCGCCTTCTATCTGATCTGCAAAATCACCTTGAGCTTTTTTTAGCGTAACTTTCCGCTGTGATTTTTTGGCATTCAAAACAGTTTTCAGATTTTCTAATCGCCCAGTATTTTTTAAATGCTTTAATTTCCGTTCATCATCGCATTGCTCCTCACCCACCATAATCTGTGGTTCTTCATCCTGAGCAACTTCATTCGTTCTTTTCTTCAATACTTGACTAGATTTAGCCTGCATATTTTTAATGCTTGAAGTTGCACAAATTATAGGAAGCAACAAAATCCACACAAAACAAAGTAATCATCATGTAATCATTCATTGAATTATTTTTACACAATTTCTAATCATGTATTTGACTAGTGCTTCAGTAAAAAAATAGACAACATTGATAAAGTTGTCAAATTTTTTCATTACTTTTAAATTCAAAATTTGAAATAATTCGAAATTTTATGTATCAAATATTACTTACAAGATTCATACGTAAAAAAGTGAAACAGACTTAAGTCATATATAAACAGCACACTGCTTTGTTTATTAAAACACCAATGAAATCAATGATTACAAGAAAAATAAATCCTAACTAAGTAGTTCATTAACATATTTAAAAAGATTTGATCCCACAGATTCTACATCCTTTCCACGAAACAACAGCGCCAGATTATGACTTGAAAATATCATTGTTAAATTTCTGTGACCTTTTTTGATGAACCTTTCTTTCTTGAGATACACATCACAATACAATTAGATTAGAAGAGCTTGAAGCACCAAAACACGACCGCTCAAAAAAATTTATCACAAACATTGGAAAGCACACGGGACACATCAAAATTATATACATACAAATGGCATGAAATTTAAAATTTCTCATTACAATCAGTTTTCAAATTCACATCATTAATTTTTATTCTTGACATGAAAACTGAATTTAGCAAGATATCTCACCTCTGATTTCCGCAGAATGATTTATTTTGATGCAACTGTAATTGTGAGTTGAGCAACTTTTGTAACTGTAATTGTAAGTTGGACAACGTTAATAAAAATTACAGTTAAAACTGTGAGGTTTGCAATTTAAATGCTTCTCTCCAAAATGATCTAACAAAAATTCTGAATATGTTATCATGCTTGCTTATGAGTTTGGGACTGAATAGCTCATTCAATGCAAGTCTTGTTTGCAGAACATTGGTATGATTATCAAGATCAAGGTTGCATCAGAATGCCACCTTGATCTTGATAATTCCAATTTACTACTTGGATGGATTGACTACAAAGAGTTAATTGCCGAAATGTCAAGTTAGATAACTTCGTAAATGAAAATCTTCATGACAGCTTTTATAGTTTGATTATTATCTTCAGTCTGTTTAGAAAGTTATAATGGACTGTAAAAAAAATAAAAGTGAAACACTCAAAAGCAAGTGTTGAAGTAATTAATTTTCACATATGGTTAAATGGAAAGCGTTCTGACATAAAACAAGTAATGTTAGTACTATGTTATAAAATATATGCTGGAAACATTTATTTTTAGTTACTTTGACAAAACTAAATCCTCCCTAATAATTTCACCTTACAATACCACTCATATCTACTTCATTTAAACTATCATCAGTACAGCTGGCAAAATATTTCAAGTTTTATCAGAACCAACAAACAGTTTGCTGATATAATCACAAGATATATTTTATGTCATATCTATTCAAAGCAAATCATAAATTTAAGTCAGTTTTTACTAACTAATAAGCAAATTATTTTCAAGAACTTCAGATTTACTCCCACGTTTCTATACTTTCCGTGACAGAAGTAACTTTTTTTTTCAATTAAATTTATGAAATAAGAATGCAATTTAATATCAATCATAACAAATTACTGGAATAATAACTATAATAAACTAATAACGTAGAATCATAACTTTGCTATATCTTGCCGTTTCATTTCCACGAATTAATACCAGACAAATGTGATAAAGAAATTATTATCATCTGTTTTATTTTCCTTCCATCTTTAAAATCAATAAAAGCATTCTGTAATTATTCCAGCTTTATCCAATTTTCAAGGAAATAATCACTTTTTTTCACAATCTTATCTAGTACTGTGCCACGTTTTGGCCAACCACCATAATATACAACAGTACCATTAGTCAAATAAGCAGCCCACCAAGAATAAGTGCCAGTGCTCATTATTGTATGGTTACATCGAATCAGTGTTGCCATGTCTACTTCCCTATAGCCTGATGATACGATATATATTTCACCTAAAAAATTTCAACTTTTAATTTTTTTTCATTCTTCCATAATAATACACAATTATTACTAACATCATGATCGAACGAACAAAAAAAAACCTTGGTATTTCATTATTAATACTGTAATACCTTGGTATTACAGTTTCAGTAACCTTACAGTATGAAACTTCAGTAAGATTATAATGCAAAAAAAGATAAAAAAATATATGAATATCTTAGAATGATTTCGCCAAAAATTGATTCAAATTGAATTAAAATTGAAAAAGAATTTACCCACCATTTTTTGGATTACTTTCTCTGCAAGTTAATCAATTAGAATTGCTTATCAAATAAAAAACATACTCTAAAAAATGATGCTTGCAAACATATATTTATGAGAACAATATTTGCTAGCAACAAACCTTTATGAGACTGATTGATATTTTTTTCGACCCACTGTTCATTATCACTGCTTATCACAAATATTACTTTTTCAAATTTTGACCTAAAAAATTCTCTTGTGTTCAGATCTCATTATCACTGCTTATCACAAATATATTTTATAACTATAAAAGGTAAAATGAGCAGAGCACTGAAAAATGGAAACTTAACATGGGAATAGCAATATTTATTGTAACGAAATTGTGTTTTAATCTTTTTATTTTGAAACTAGTTAGCAAACAAAAATGAGTGAACAAGATTTAGTTATATTACATGAAAACCATTTGATGTTCACGATTAGATCTTGCAGAAATTGTCATCGACAGCAATATGTTAAAATCAAATACGGAAACTCATTAATGTCTCAATACGACGATAGTTAATATCGGATGCTATTTTAAAACCTCACCTATAATAATTCATTGCATTAGTAATGTAATCCCTAGTAACAGTTGTGTGGCCGTACTTAATATTTCGGCTATTCATAGTAATGTCTATACCATAGCGTATGTGCACTCCAATATACACATAGCCTCGGCCAGCTTTAATACAGTAATTCACTTTGTTAAGTAATATTTATGATACTTCAGATGTAATAAACTATTTCAAATATCAAAGCAGATGAATTGCTAATTTTTTTAATAGAAAAATCAAAGCAGCAATTATTATTTTTAACAATGTAAAGGTAATACCATCGAAATCTTCAATAATATCCACCTGATCATTCTCATTTGAACCTTTTTTAACTGTAACTTCTGAATGCAGTTTTTCATATTTTGCTTCTAACAAAAATCCATCAGCTTGCTCAACAATTTCTGGTAAAAATGTAAACTCTTGACGAATCAAATTTTCCTATAATTGAATGATGTCAAACAAAGACTAATACCAAAAGTGCTGAATGAACAAAGCAATAATAATATAAATGAAGGTTGAGGATTGGAACGGTACTAATTTACTATTTAAATTTAAATTAATGAGCAAGCAGAAAAATTGAATAATAAAACATATTTTACTACGTATTCAGTTACTTTAAACCTTGCTGATGACAAAAATTTCTTAGAAAAATGGATTGCAAAAAAATTTTCTGCTACTTCAATAAAATGCAAGCTCACTTGTTGTGGATGAAAATAGCGATATGTCTGAAGATATCCCGTTATGTACTCGAAACTTTGTTCTGTGAACAACTCATCTACTTCAGTTCCGTAATATTTACAACACAACGGAAAAAAAATAGCTATTTTTTGATTTAAACCATTAAATGAAAAAGAAAATTAATGTAAAGAATATCATTACCAAAACATTGCAAGTTATAAATGTAATAAGAATTCAGAGCTAACATCAAAATAACGTTCGTGTTGGCCATATTTTTGGATCAACTGAGCGTTCACTTCGTTGCTCACTATAACTGCATCTAACTTAAAGGCTCGTCGTAATTTGCATTTTACAGGAACGATTAATTTTGCACCATATCGTTCAGCAATTGCTCGTAAAGAACCATATTGAAACATTAAATTACCCAATCCTCAAAATATCCTTCTTATTTACTTACATCATGATTTTGGTATATAATTTTCCACTACTGATTTTTACATACAATTGTTCCTTTTTTAAGACCAAATATTTGTACGAACATCAGCAATATGATGAAAAATGCAGGACATAAATTGCAGGCAAAGAAATTGAAGTTATACCTGGACTCCAAGAGAAATTGCTTATTATGTATCGCAGACTTTTATCAATATCATCGATATTTTCAATCAATTTTATAAATGGTAAATCCCAGGACTGATCAAATTCTACATCCTCACCTATAAGGAACGTTGTAAACTGGAATGACTTCGGTTTAATAGAATTAGTGAAATCATCTGAGCTAACCAAATAATGCTTAACAGGAATCAACTCTAAACTTTTTAAAGATTCAAGTATATCCAATTTCTTTGTAATACGCCCATAAATTTTGGTTTTTTATGTCTATACTTTAATTTTGATCTAATTCTTGACTTCTTGATTCTTGATTTGTTCACTTATTGTCACAAATAATAATAATTTATATTACGAATTGACTGCCCACAAGCATCTAGATAAACACAATCTTGTAAGTGAAATCTATATCTTGACTAATTGAAAAATCAAAAAATACCTCCTTGAGGGAAAATACGAGTTGCTTTAATTACTGACATTCGACCCAAGTAGCTTATATTATGTTGACTATGAAAATTCCAGTTCGCTATTAATAACAGTAAGAATGAAAAAGTTAGTACGGTAATGAAGAATGCTGATTTATTTGCTGAAATAGCATGCATGGCTTTGCATTGCGTTGTACGTCCACGCAATAATTATTTTTATTAATTGCTAAAGAATACAGTATTTCTGTATCTTTCAACGAAATAATCAATAATTGCCGACCAAATCAGTTTATATTTTGAAATATTTCAAGTCAAAAAAATAAGTGGAAAGATTTGCTTTCTTTGTCCTCATTGACACGGTCGAAAATTGAAATTAGGAGATAAGCGAATATTTTATGATTAAATTGATAAGTAATAGTGTACAAAAGTAATTTTTCAAAACTGAACATAAATCAATTCAATATTGAAAGAAATTACTAGTTAAAATTTTGATAGTTGAAAAATTAAATAATTGAAATTTTTAAATTTACCGAAATATATTGTGCGCATGAATGAAGAGCAAATTAATTTGTGAACGGTTTTCTGGCGCAAAAGTGGTTATTATTGAGTGATTTGATTACGGAATGAATTAGTCCTTTATTTAACCCAAATAACTTTCAAGAGTAACTGGTAGTGAGTAAACGATTATTCTACAGCAACTATCTCTACTCAATACTTCGTTCACAATCCATCAACTAATTTCTTTCTCACAAACATTTCAGCTGAATAAAGAAATTTTTGATAATTGCTGATTACTGAGTATACAGTTTACTACTGTAAGAGATACATTAAATAATAATGTAATGCATTTTTATCATAAAATTATAAGTCATTCTTGACTACGTTTATAGATTTCTAGTAATCAAATTTTTATGACCAATTACTCTAGAGAAAAAACAATTACAGCTGAATTGAAAGTGGTCATTAATTTTTCCGTTCCTGTTATTGTTTCAGGAGTTTACGGCTGTATTTAATGTATATGATAAATCAAAGGCGACTGAAGCCCCAAAACAATTATTTTTTATTGCACTACTGCATCTAAATTTACAAAAACGAAAAACTACATCATCCCGTTAAACATCAAGATATTTAATTCACTGCTATTATATATGTACCAAAATGTAGCAAAACTTAAATTTTTCTTATGTTTGCAAATATATTTTTCTTGGTTATCACTACAAGGTCTCAGAAATTTGATATTCATTTCTAGGTCGTGATCAATCTTCGCAAAGTATGAGAAATGAGAAATGATTATTTCTGATCTTCTCTAAAACTCGACAAATTTTCTCTCATCATTAAATTTAAAGTTTTCAAAAGTCAAAATTATTTCTGCTCTACACACTCAACCATAACTTCTGACTACTTTAAGGCCTGTAAGGTCCTGCACATCATGTAAATGGAAACAACAAATATTTATTGTAGTGCAGTACAGTGAAAAGCAAATAATAAGCACCATAATTCTGAGAGTGCGAAAGAAACAATCAGACATAAGAAGGCTTTCTTGGATAAACTTTTTCATGTTTTACTGGTAACATAACACATGCAATTTAGACAACTATCCATAATTGAAAAAATTTATGCACAATTTATGCAGATTCATTTCGCTTTAGTGAGCACAAACAGTGTGCAAGCATCCGACCCCAGGTCTAATACGAATCATGAAATAGGAAAGACCAGAAAAGGCATCCGACATAGACCAGCCTATATATAGATTCAATTAAAAAAAAGCAATTAAAATTTGATAAAACTCACAAAAAATTACTTATCCAAAAAGAACATGAAATTTAACGATGCATATATAAACAAGATCTTTGAAAAGATAAACAAGCATACATACAAAAGCATTCATGTAGATTAGTGGAAAATAAATCAAGAAGCATGTACAGATTCAATAAACTGCGAATAAAAGTCAAGATGGAACGAATTTTCTTACTTACAAATTATACAAACTGAGAATATGGCATATAATAGATGCAACATTTTTATAAGATTAAGATGTTATTCAGATGATTCTTAGAAAGTTGTGAATCTTATAAAATTTTACTGAAACGAATTCTAGTATATCTAGCACTGTAATCAATTACAAACTTGCATGACAGAAATTTATCATTACAGTCTCATAATAATATAAGTTTGAAAATTGAATAAATAGGTCGATGCAAATATAAACAAAGATTTTTAACAAGATAAATACAAATTCACACAAAAACTCTTATACAGATTAATCAGGAATAGATGAAAATGATATATATAGATCAAAAGTGATAAGAGGTCAAAATGTCAAACGAATTACCGTTATAAACACAAGAATATTAAACCAAGTAATCAAACTAAGTATGCTTGTAGATAGCAATGAACAATTACAATCAAACAATAAGTGATCACTATATGAAAGCAGAAACATGAAATGCAGAGACTGATCCAGTAATAACACTTGTCTATTCTTACATCTGAAAACTTAACCGTAAGAGAACTAGCACCACAAAGTACATCCGCAGGTTGAAGGATCAATTTGCTACTACAAACAGAATAATTGTTTTTTGCAGTGGCAATTGTGCGATAATTTTCTTTGCTAGCATAATTTTGAACAGAAGTAAGCAAATAGGAATGTTCAAATTTTGGAGATTAATAAATTAGTAAGCGCATGTTCTAACTTAAGTTAGAAATAGTTAATTAGTGTAGAACAGGTTTTATTTTAGTGAGATGTATTCCTTCGTTCATATTTAAAGTATGTTAATAGGTAGAATGTAAAGGTACTGATATATTTAGAACTAAATATTATCAGTGGAGAATCTTTTCGTTTTTACTTCGTTAAGAATAGAGTTGAAGAAGTGTTGTGTTCAGTGGTACATTTTGTGTCCTTATTTTCATGAATTTTGTTTATAAATTTGTTGGCTTGTTTTTTATAGACATTATATTTTTTGGAATCTTAGTTAATAAATATGCTAAATAGAGAGTAATTGAAGATCACGCAAGCAATGTTGGATTCTGCTAACGATTTCAATCCTTTCATCGTAGCCATATGCTTTTATATGCTGGTATTTCTTATTGCCGAGTTCACTCGAAAGCTTGTTGACGGGTAAATTTTTAGTTACTTACATTATTAAATGTATTATAGTTTGTTCTGTTGTAAATTTATGGATTTATAAATTGTGCTTAATGTCATAAGTTCATTGTTTTGATGTTTTTGGGTTGTTCTTGATATCATAAGTCTTGAACTTGAATTATTTAGTTACTTAGAAATAACAAAACATAATATATCAAAAAAAAACAAACAAACCACTGTTTATGGTTTAGAGTTTTTTTAGAAATTGAATACTGCAACTTGTCTTAAAGTGAGCCATTATTTATTAAAATTGACGTGCAGCTCATTATTTGACCTAACTGCAACATTGTCTTTTAGTTATCGAATATAAATACTGTGTATTTGGTATTTTAGATTTGTTACGGCCGGCTCTTTGCTTTATTATTTTTTACTAGAAGCTATCGCGACAGCTCAAATGTGTTCTTGCGTTTATGAAAACGGTATGAACTTCTTTCTCATCTTTTCAAGGCATTACATGTGCGAAAACTGCTGTGTTCTAAAAAATCTTCATTATTTTGCCTGTAATTTCAGCTGTCATAATTCGTCACTATGGCCAGTTGGGCTTTTTTTTCGCAGTTTATTCGTTACTTTTTGTTGCTAGTACTATGAATCGAGGAGCATTTGTCTCACCACTTCCACCTATTGAGCTTTTCTACAAAAATACCATTTCGTAAATGCTTCTATTATTTTTGTTTTTTCAACGTTTTTCTAATGTTTGATATTTCTAGAACCTTTATTGGATTGAAAAAATGCATTTTAAGTCATGTGTCTCATTATTATGGTTAATATATTTCAGAAATTCTATTTATAGATATGTTTCAGAATATTCTGCACAGGGATACAAATTACAGGTTGGGAAGGTTCTTGGTAACGATCGCTGGTCAAATTGTTGGTGGTTTTTCTGCTTATCGGGTGGCTCGTAATTTGTGGTACTGGTCATTAAATCTTTCCACCGATCATGCTGTTTTCTATAAAAATACTAGTTGCGAAATTGCCTACAAGGTTAGCTATTTCTCAAAATAACCTGATTGTTCAAAAGTATTCCAATCCTACTTCCTAAAAAATTCATTTGTTTTTCGTAAGAATTTGACGTTAATTGTATTTTTGTTAATGATGCTTCCAATTAAGATTATTTCTGCATTATCTTTACTTCATTTATGTTGTTGTAGATTTTGGCTCTCATGCTAAATAAGAAAAATTACTACAGCTCAACCTGTAGACTACATTTGTTAAATTTTAGATACCAGTATTTAAGTTTTAATTGAAATCATAGTAAATCCTCCAAGCTTTATCTTTTTTTGTTTCAATAATCGTACACAGTCATGGTTCAAATGCAGCAAATTCAGCATGATTCACACTAAAATTTGTTCAGTTATATCTTTTGATACAAAGCACCACTTTAGGTACCATTCGTCTTTGTTCTTTCTTTTGAAGTGATTGGGTGTTTCCTAATGCGCTTCATTTTGTGTCGAATTCCAGCTCATTCAAAAAAGCTTATTACACCAGCTGTTATATCAGCCTTCTTAACTTTTGGTCAGTATTGCTTTGAAGTCATTTTTATTTTTTATGCAAGAATTTACCAAAAAAAGTTTGTATTAAGTATTAAAACTTCATCATGTCTTTCAACTATAAAACAGTTTAATTTGTTAGCTTTCAGCTTTATTAGTGCTTGGTGTTCCTGGTCTGAATCCAACAGTTGCTTCATCACGTTTGCAAGGATGTGACGGACTGGATACTTCTTGGTTTATTCTGACTTATTGGATATGTCCTGCAATAGGTTGGATGTTGTCAGTTTTGAATGATGAACGTATAATTGGGTCTGTTGAAAGAAAAGAAAAATAAGGAAAAGGGTTGGAAGGGAAATATATTAGTGAAAATAATCATAAAATTTCTGTAAAATTGTTTGGCACTTTAAAGATTTCTTTGAATCAAGGTATCATGAATGGAGTTTATTCACGTCATATTAATTTTTTCATAAAATTATTATCCCTTTTGTTTTTTGTTGCTTTCGTTAATCTTTACTCGCTGCGTACTGTAACAAAGTTTGTTTTTTTAAGTCCAGTGCTTTTTATCGGAAATCGTTTTTATCATGCCTAAATTAGGAAGTGATTTTTTTTTCTAATATTACTTCTATTAGTTGATGTTATTTATGCTTGTATGTTGCAATGTTTTCATGAAGTTCATTATAGTGGTATCATATTCCATTACCCAAACAACTTATTTATCCTGAAAATATTTAATTTATTTTTGTGTATAGAATGCATTTGCAAAATAATAATTTATAATTCATTGTGGTAAAAGTGATCAATTTATATTACAAAACGCGTTTTATTTATATGTTCCTATCGTGCTGTTGGAGCTGTATAAATAACTTTGTGTTTTATAAGCCTGCTTGATAACAGAAGAATAAAAACCTCTTAGATATTAGACAGTGAAGTTTTACAAAAGTAGTCATTATAATACAGTAGTAAATAGAAAGCACGAATATCGAGAGCTGTATAGCATATTTAGGCGTGTGAGGGTTCCGTCGAGGTTTCTAGTGAGGTTCTGATCTCAGCTGTGACTATTTAATATGTTGGTGACTTTTTTTTGCTGAATGAAGTCATAAATAAGGGAGGCGTAAGTTTTTTTTTGCTATGATTGTTAAGGATTAAGAGATCTTGATAATTTCCACATGACTGATATTGTTATTAAGTCATGAAGTAATTGGATTTGCATATGCTTGTATGCGTGTATTTTCGTTATTTATTGTGAATGGGGAGCAGTGTTCATTTTTAGTAATAGTGTGTGTGATATGTAGTGATTAATATGATGCATTTTCATCTCATTATCAATAATGACTAGCTTTGCAGCAAAAGCTTTTTATCCTTCATATTAACACATGCCCCCAAAAGGTCATCTCTCTCTCATTTCTACACTATTAACTTGGTATTCAGACGTTTATATATATCGTCACACATATTTTTATCGTTTTAAAAATCTATCTTTCAGTTCTTTTTCATTTGATAAACAGTAGTTGAGAAATTATAAATAATTGTTGCATTTATCACTTACGAGCATGTGTATGAATTGCGCACTGTTTTTATATATAACAGTAATGTACGGTTTCAGGATCGAGCAAGAAATAACTAACTTCTGTTGATATTGTCACTCTTACTGCTACTTCTATCAATTAAGTCATGTTTACTTTTTCACGCTCCAGGTACAAACTGTGCAAGGCAAAAAGTCTCGCTAAAACTGTTTTACTTCAACACAAAATTAGTAGCACTTATAATAAATTAATTTCAATTTCACCTTCTTAAATTCAGTTTTTTAAAGTAATTTAAACTTCATAAATTACACTTGTCTGAAATATTATATATATAAGGATGGCTGCATGGAATATTGTAAGGAAAATTTAATGCTGAATGCGTTATAATTCGTCAATACAGTAAATTATTAAAATTATACTGCTATGATTTGGATGCAACATCTTTAAATGTGCAAAATCGCATTCTAGTTTTGTATTCACGATCTGATTTTTTTTTAAACTTCAAAATAAAAATGGAAAATACTTCAAAAAGTATGTTTCAGTTTCAGAAATGAAGATTTCAGCCATAGTTTTCTAAAGTCGTTCATCTTCCTTCTCTCATTTCATTTTCATTTCTTTTCAATTTCACTCATTTGATAGTATTCTTTCTTATACTTCCTATTTTCATGATCAGCGCAGTTATTAATATACTTCTATGCTCATTAATTGCACGGTTTTCGGTAGCATTAATTTTGCACCAACATAGAGCATTTTTCAGACTTTTTATAAATGATTGGTGTTGGGATAATTACCAGTATTCATCTTCATTCTATTTATTTTGTCGTATTTCATTTCTCATACAATGTAAGCATTACTCAGTATTTAGCACTTTTGAATTTGGTAACAAAACCTCTCAAATGAAAAAAACATTTGCAGATAACAGTCATTAATTCTTATGTAACTATATTAAATAAATCAAGTAAAGCTAGAGATGTGCAACAGGCAGTTTCCTGTTTACGTAGTTCAAATTCAAATGTGACTTATAAACTGTTATTGCTGTCTGAAACAATTAAAAAATATTTTCACGGAAATAAATTTTATCGTTTTTAAAATTTATCTTTCAGTTGTTTCTTAAATGTCCATTTCATTGAGTTGATAAATTATTGATAAATGATGCATTTATGTGTAATTAATTTCATTGCATACGATTGTGACTTACGTATAATTTGTTTCAGATGTGAAAGATGTCAAATATTTAATTAGTTTGCTAATTAAAAAAAAAACAGCAGAAATAATTTTCAGCCTTTGACTTTGAAATCCTTTTTGAATCAATCACTTTTTGATTTCATCTTTTTGAGTTAGAAATATCAAATTTGTTGGCTGTGCTATATTCATACTTTTACTAATTTCTGCAAACGTTTCTGCTCTCTTCTTCTGGTACCATTACTAGGCATTCATTTCCACATTGTGTTTCATTATTTTATGTGATATATTGCCAAAAAAGAACTTTAGTGTGAATTGGCGCTACAAAAATACATACTGAACTATCTTAACGTGTAAAGTCAATGACCACTACTTATCATGAATAATGAAGTGTGATCTGACAGAGGTATGTTTAAATTCTGTTCACTCCATTTCCCTTTTACAACTTACTTTGAAATAAGAATAAGCATTGAAAATGAGCTAGTTCAAGTGATTTACAGGTGTATTTCTATTTCTATTATGAATACCTAATTTTGAGCTGATATTTTATCCGAAATGAGGTAAAACTTTAAATGGACCTATATTTATAAATATCATAATTTGTATTATAGTGAACATTTTCATAAGTGATCATTGAGAGATCATTCTCTGATTTGGATGACATTAGATGTAATAAATATGGCATTTTCAATCTTCAATATTTATTTAAGATAGACAGCAGGCGTTATGAGTATGAAAATGAAAGATTTACTTGATTGTCGGATTGGATGAGTAATCTGCAATGTAAAGTAAAAAACAGTGAGATTTATACACGAAAAGCTTCAGCACACAGAATTTATATCTGTTTGCAAGATATCTTTGGTAGCATGAATCTATAATGTGGATTAACTTCATTTTTTACTTAGTTTACACATGATCATGATCTCGTACCAGAAATAAGCTAATTTGTTATGAATAATGAGGAATGTTTTTCTAATTGTACACAGAACAAGGAGCATCAGAATAATAAAATATAAAGCATATGCTTAAGGTAATGAGTTAGAATAATTTTATGAACACTTACAAATGTTAACGGATATTTCAAGCTAAGATTCATGCTGTTTTATGTATAACTAATGCATGAAATTGCTATGACTTCGATCAATTAGAAATAGGTTTATGGGTTTAGTAATACAAAAGTATTATTAATTTTTGCGCACAACTGGATCATAGTTCAGCCTCAAGAAACAATAAATACTTCACTAATTCAAAAATTGAGTAAGTAATGCAAATAAATGCTGAAAGAATACTTGATGATTGATGAACGATGCTTAGAAATGAATTATCGAACAAAGATATACTCCAATGTTTGTTGCAGAAGCAAAATCTACTGGCAGTAGACTCTACGTTCATCAAAATTCTGCAATGAATAATGTGAATTTACAGCAGTTATTAGCACACTGAACTGAGAGTAGAAATTGTGTTCTGATTTTTGAAAACGAAATTTTAAGTAAAAAACAATACATGATGTAGCGGTTAGAGCAAAATAGAACTATGTAAGAGATCTTTCTAAATTTTTTTTACAATACAAATTTTGCTCGTTGAACTGTTGTTATATTTTTAAATGCATATTTCAAACAAGTACAATATTTCACATCATTGTTTATTAATTTTTCAAATTTTAAGCTACATTAAGCAGCGTAAAATTCTAAAGTTTCAAATACAAAATAAGCCCAATCCAATTAAGTCATTTTATGTTTATTTGCATGAACAATGTTTTATGTGCTAAAATGAAAATCCAAAAAGAACATGTCATTTTACTTTTTAGCCAATGCTTAACAATGCCATTTCCTGACATTGCCAATGCTGCTTTTAACGACTATAAAACTATAAATAGATTTTAGTAATACAGAAATATTACTAAACAATCATTTATATAGTTATTTTCCGCTTCTTCTGCTCATTAATCTTCGTTTTGGACTCTTACTAGTTATATTTTTGCATGAATTTCAATTAATTCCTTAACTTTATAAACTAAATAAATGAAGAAAAGCCATTGAAATGGCATAATGCTACATTGTAATTGATAACATATTTATAAATTGTTATTTCCACTCTGCTTAGTCAAAAAGAAAAGTAGAACTAACATCATATTTACTCATGACATCATGTAAATAATTAATATTGCTAGTAATTCACTAAAAATTCATAGTTGCATTTACTAAGCTAAAAACTTCAGCAGTTATTATTCATCCACAAAAAATTGGTATGACAAAATAGATTTTGTTGATGATAAATTGCAATAAAATATTTTACTTGTGGCAATTTCTTGTCCGTTTTATTTGGAAGTAAGAAAAACCATTTTATACTCATTTTAAATTTGTAAATTTTTTACTTATTTTACATTTGCTTTGAATAGTAAACGTGTTTAACGTTAAGTCAGTTGTTAAATGTTACCGCAGTTTGACATGTTTAAACTTTTCGTCCGTTCATTAATTTTTGACTCATATCCGTTTATTCCTTGCATTTGTTAAGCAAGCTAGATTCAGCTTAAACCTAATAATATTACGTCAAATCAAAAATCTTAAAGTTTGCCTTAAGCACTGTTAATTAGTTCTTAAACTGGAAATGATAAATGAGTGCAGCCTTG